GTTAATTAAAACTGAAGGATAATGCTTGGATAAGAGTAAAGCTATCTACAATGCTCAGTAAGTACGCAAACGTTTTTCAACGCTTATCTTGATTGCAAAAAGCTCCACTATAAAACTACCAACAAATTTAATAGCCAGATTTAATCAGTCCTGTTAACCAATGCGCTCACAGAGTGTGACTTTGGCGTTTTGGATGCATTAACCAGTGCACAACATAAACACAAAAGCTTCTGCGCAAAATTTTGTTCGCGTGCTAGCGTAAATCAGGTGTGACTACGGCATGGTGACTCCACGCCCCNCCCCCCCCCCCCCCCCTTCCACCCCCGAGCCACGTGCCCAAAGTACATCTGCCAAATTTCTATTTACAGGATGACTCAGTTTATTTGATCGTGTTATCCATACTATATATTCTATATGCTGGGGTGCGTGATAGACTTACCTCCACGTGGTGCACCTTGGGCAACGTACACTCATACGGCAAAAAGGTCTATTAACTGGAGATTGACTTCTGGCTCAGTACTTGTCCTATCTTTTCTCTTCATGTCTGTCTCTTTACACCTGTAAATCACTCTTCTGTTCCCCACCCCTCGACTTGATGTTCCTTCCCCCTGTGAAGCCCGAAGTCAGCTAAAGGGCTAATGATAACTATCAAAACGCCTGCCATTTGAAATAAATAAATAAATTCCATATGCTTGGTCCTCACCTTTCTATCGTACTCGGCCTATCCCCGAATATGGTTTTTCTTTGTCAAGAGTTCAGCATTATCTTCGAAAATTCCTTACACTACACTACCTAAGTGCAGACTAAGTATGTTGCCATGTATCATCTAATTTAAAGAAGTATATTTCCCTTCAATGCTAGTGGAGGTAATACAGTAACAACAGCTCTGTGTGGAACTTGTGGAAGTTCCACTGTTCAATGGTCATATATTTTTTTCTAAAGTGGGAACGAGAAAAGTGGTATTTTGACCGGCTGGATGATAAAACATTGTCATAAAAGGGGATTTCAAGATACGCGGGTGAATAATCAGTGCTTGAGCGGTGTGAGTTCTCCTCAGGTGCACTAAAATATCCCATCTTTCCTGGGTGCTTGTAGTTTCATTGCTATCAGTCTATCATTTATTAATAAAGACAACGCTTTTAGCGCGTCAAAATTATCAATGTAATAGGAATTGTAAAAATTGATTTGGAACTCAGATTGTCAATTTTGGGTTAATTTTAAATCATGAAAAAACACACACGGCCTACAATGTTGGAAATAGCAAAACCCGTCGCCTTATTTTCTTCTGAATAGGGAACTACAAATCTGCACCCCCTTGGACCAGACCTCGCAATCCCTTCCTTCAATTGCAATCTTATGGCCTAGCAAACGCTTTTCCTATTTGAATAAAGCAAAGTACTTTCGGGAATATGAAGGCATATAATGCAATTTTCAACTAGAGAAGCCTATTTCAAGGTATTGATTGGTTGAGCTTATGGTAAATTTGATTTTATAGCCAATATTCTATTATTGAGAGGACTTACAATTTGAGCAAAAACACACCGCCTTCATCTTTGGTGACTACTTGATTAGCCAAATGTTGATTAACTTCTTGACACTTTTCTAAAATATCTCCTTTCAACTTTTCTTGAACTGTACGCACCAATTGTCCGATCTGTTCAGTTCTAGCCTTGGGCAAAATATCCACAGTTGCTCTATAGGCTGTTCGAAGTCGTCCGGTTATATGCTTGTAGGCAATAGAGAGGCGATATCGTTCATCCATCGTCATCTGTTCACCAGCACCATCACGTAATTCTACCACCTTTTTGACTTCGTCAACCATATCTGAAGAAGACAGGTGCGTCAAGAAAGCAAATATTAATAAGAGAATATATTTTCCCGTGTTGACTTTTCCCGTGACTTGATTAAAAGGCACCTATCCTGGGCCCTCTCTTTTGAGAAACTCACGTTGTACCACCACTCTCTTTAGACAAAAATAATCCCCGGGGGGAGGGCGGTTACCGACATAATTGAACGCTCATTGATGATACGTTAATCTCAGGACCTCTCACACCGCTTCAATATTCCTCATGGAAAGGGCGCCAGTTTCATGCTGTAGCCATGGTTAGAAAATAGAAACCTTGCACCTTATTAGCTGACCTTATCAAGTGCACTACCATTTCACTCACTGAAAATGCATCGATTGGCACCGAAAGTGCTAATTCTGCGGCTACAATCACTTCGTCACCGACTCAGACTCAGACCAGTACTTGGCGGAGCTTAAACGGCAATGATACTTAAGTTATTAGTGGACTGGCGGAAGGACTAAAAAATCACTTGAAACTGACAGACAAAGAGGGGAATTATTTAGAAACTGAATAATAAAATATCCATTCATGAGCGCAATTATATACTGCGACGCACAGCTAATTAAAGTATAAAATAGTATCAAAACTGCAAACTGGGATGTTATAGACCGCAAAAACCTCCACCCCGGAGCCACTAAGTTGGTACAAACCCCAAAAATGGGTGATTCCTCATCTTAACGGGGCATTCGCTTTGTAATGTAGAAATTGAGCGCTGTACAACATTAAGTATAAAATTGAATTCAAGAGACTTCTCGTTTCTTCTCCATGATGTGTTACTCGTTATCCTAGGAAAATATGGCAGATGAAATAGACCCAGTCTTACCCGAATACATTTCAAGAGCCTCGTAGATGCGAGCAAGCTCATTGTGTTCAGAGAGAGCACTTGTTTCCTGTTCCATCGTTGCCAAAAAGTGAAAGGTATTCCTTCGTAAATTTGAACAAATAACTTAGGAGATCACGGGGTTGTGCACTTTCTAAGTTCAAGCGAATAGTTCAAGCAACTGTTCTTAGTGTTTCAGTTAACAGCTGAAATCTTCATATGACATCGTATTGTGCATTACGTGTAGTCATTGATCATAAGTTTTACTCAGTCCGAATATCTTTCATTGATAAACTCCTACCATGATTTCCTCATTCCATATGATAGATTCCCTATTTACTTCGTCGCAACAGTGTAAGGAAGGGAGGGGTGGGGGGTGAGGGGGGGGGTCTCCAAGAGAATAGAAGATGCATTCCACCTCTCTTATAACCGTTGAAATCGAATTCTATCAGCCTTCTCATTGATCAGAAATAGCCGACGTAGCTACTTAACTGCCTTACTAGATTTATATTAATGTAATTCCATCTAGAAAACCTCTGATCTAGCAGACATGTGCACTGATCACGGCATCTTTTGAATTTTTTTGTGTATAAACTCTGCAGGGTGGCACAAAGCCTTGGAAATTATATTCTTTGAACAGTAAAGAACCCTTAGTAGAAAAGTACATATTTCATAGGAGTTCGTGTTCCGGCTTTTTCTGCATATTTTTAAAACATTATGGTTAAGTTTCGAATGGGAGTAGAGATGAATTTGATTTTGCCCAAAGACTGAATTTTCACTACCACAAAGATTCGCATAAGTTTGGATCTTATAAGGTGACACTTCATAATTGAGCAACTTGTATAAGCCTAGATTTATAGCCTTCTTACTACATCTGATTAGTCTTAAACAGTATTTTCAATGTCCCTTGTTTGCTTACGCATTACGGCCGTTATCTGCCTAATAAAGGACTCGTTTTCGTATGTCCACCCCCTCCCATACACGGTCATATTTTGTTTCAATTTTTCACTTCCGCTGGGAGCAAATAATAACTTTAACGACACATGTGATTGCAGTGGTGATGTTGGTATCAATAAGTTGTGTTCTTACTTCTTTCCATTTGTTTGTCCTTTGTGCTGAGAGAGAGAGAGAGAGATGGAAAGCTAATGGGTAATTTCAATATTTTACGTTTTACCATTTAAAGAGTGAAAAGAAATTGTCCAAAGATAGATTTCAAATTGACTTCCAATTTTTATAATTTATTTGACTATAATAATAATTGTTCTGGATTTCTTTTTTTCTGTGGAGTAAATAGTGAAATTGGTTACAGTAAGGGAAATACTGGGACTTAACAACCAATCATTACCCTCACAGCATTTCTTGTAAATAGTCATTCATTGATATTTAATCTGAGTCCTAACTTAAGTATAAATGCCCTCTGTAAAAATGAATAAAGTAGTTAGATTGCTCATCCCGATCGCTTTCATTATCTAACGCAAATGGCCTTTCTCTATTTAGACAATATAATACTTGAGGATTCTTCAAAATCGAGGAGATCAATATCGGTATTATACGGTGTGCGATAGATTTACCTCCACGTGGCGAATCCTGGGCGAAATATACTCATAAGGCAAAAAGTCTATAAATCGGCAGTTGACTCCAAACTTCAAACTACCATGACCCACTGCATGTCATACTCGACAACTTCCACAGTATTCGCCTTACTTTCCTCTCTACATATGTGCCTGTCTGACTCTATTGGATCTGTGAATCACTCATCTAGCTACTTCTTTATTTACCCTCATAATGATGCCTATTCATCTAAGCCAAAGCCCTTTTGAGTTTCAATTTTAATAAACTATTATTTGCAATAAATGAAATCGTAATTTACTTGAGGTTTTAGGGTTCTATGTTAAGTTTCCACATTGCAAAATTTTCTTGATTGAATTGCTCCGCTTGACTATTACTGTAAAGTAATATTTTTATGTTATAAAATTTGAAGTTTTAATGCAAACATTAGTTAAGGGAATCATTTTAATGTGTAGATATGTGCATTAAATTGGTCACAGGGTACAGAGTTGTTTTTTGTAATAAGCAAAATCATTTTATTGACGTGAGCCTTATTAAGCAAATATAAAACAGATTCGACACACATTATCAGTGTGTTGGACAAATATTTAAATATCTTTGATACATTATTAATAAATTCCACTTATTTATAAATACATTTATTAAACTTCACATACAACAAACAAAATTTTAAAACATGCGTCCCATTTGCAATCTATTAATAAATCTTGCTATTAATGAACTAAATTGATGAAGTAAATACAAACGCTGACTCGACCTTCAGACTCAAGGTTATACTCAACCTCTGTACTGAATATATTTTTTATACTTAAATGCATCTCTTATTTAAATGCTCAAGCTTTTTGCAAAAACCCCTCTTTTTAAAGTCTTGCCGACAATTTTTTGCCAAATCACCCCAAATAAACACCGCTAATAAAATCCGCTTTCATGTGAAGCGCAACGTTCGTGTATACACCACAATTTCTCTATCCACATCTATTGCTGCTGCTTTTATTTCAATCAAATCTCTTTCGAAATACGATACTTCCATCGATGAATGTGTTAAATCTTCTATTCCTCTTACCCCTTCATCCCAAGATACTACGGAAACAGCTAATGTAAATATTCTATCATTCAGTACTCTATGTTCACTGCTGCTATCTGATTTCCCCTATTTAGTAATTGCAATTTTGGTAAGTTATTTTATGACAGTACTTGATAAAAATATTTAGGGGGCGTTTGGCGCTGCTTATTTCAATATCCGTATTCCTACTCTTTTGGGTGAACTGATCAATATTCTTGCGGAAATTGCCCAAGCTCGTTCAATATCCTTTTCGGTACTGCGGTCGCCCTCACTTCGCCTATGCGGAGCCATTTCGTTGCAGGTTTGCCCATTGCCAACATTTTTTTATGTCGTTTATTCGGTTGTTTAGGTCTCATTTCGATCATTTTTCTACTTTAGTCTCTTTGTACTTTCGTATGCATCGGATTTTTGGCTACAGTTGGCGAACGGATTGCTTTTCGCCTAAGAACTATGCTTTTTGAGCGTGTTATTTATCAAAGAGTCGGTTTTTTTGATGAGAAAACATCCGGTTGGATAATAGAAAGGTTTGCATTGTAAATTAGATTTTATTGGTGAATTAAACTAATTTTTTAACCTTGTTTATAGATTAACGGCTGATGTGCAAGATTTCAAGAGCTCCTTCAAACACTGTGTTTCTCAGGGTCTTCGCAACGGTGCCCAGGTTTTGTCTTTATTACTATTTAGACATGCTTTATAGAGAGTTTACTTCTTACTTATAAGAGGGTTAGCAGAATTCGAGCTCCTGAAAATTCAAAGCCATTCTGGGTTATACCTATCTTCCATACGCTTTAGCATTCATAGGATTGATTTTTACTGTCTAAGCTATCACCTTTTCAGCTTCTTACGATCTCCACCGCATAATTTGGTGGGAATAGGTCAAGTGATTTTCCCAAGTCATATGTAAAAGTATTTTTTAAATGGTTAGGTCTCTGATGGAAATTTTGTTTAAGAGCTAATTTAAGGACAAAATCGGCCCAAGTGAATCTTCAATCCGTGCCGTATCTCAGGACATTCCATGTTCATTTTGGAGACGCCTCAAACTCCCCATTAGTTCCTACGGGTTCACGTTAAATCAGATCAAAACACAAAGTGGCACAGAAATTAATTTTTTTCTTATCTATTTTTTGTCAAGAGTTTATGCTCGTAGCGGCAAGGAACAGGCTTCTTGATATCCGAATTTCTTTATCGTTCTCGTCAATTGCCTCTTGAATTGCTTCACTTTTGATAAATGAAGGCCTTGTTGCAAAAATTATAGAGGTTCTTCACTTTGTTATTCGTCCGAAAACGATTTTCTATCATTTAAGTTTGTAAATATCTTATAGTTTATTATTTCTCTGACATATTTTACCTCTTAGATTATTGGATCGTGTATTGCCATGTATAGAATATCACCAACTTTAACTGCGGCCTTATTGGGTTGTCTTCCGCTAGTTTTTCTTATTGGTAGCCTTATAGGCAGTCAGCTACGTCGAATGAGCCATGCAGCTCATGAAAAGGTTAGTTCTCTTTCTTGCTCATCACAATTCTCTACTTATGAAATTGCAGTAGTATGCTTTTTGCTCAACAGACTGACGAAACCACGAACATCGCTTCGGAGGCTTTCACTCACATTCGATCGGTTAAATCTCTCGCCATGGAATCTCAAATGATCGAGTACCTTTCAAAATTTTAAATAATGAAAACAAAATAAACACTTTATGATTTTTTATTATTTTTTTCAGTCAATATCAGCAGTCTGCATGCGAGGCCTGCTATCTACACGAGTTTCTTGGCTACGGAATCGGCTGTTTCCAAGGCCTTTCCAACTTCGCCATGAACGGTTAGTTAGGGGATGGTACTTTTGTTATTAATCTTCATATCGTTAGATTTATACGTTTAAAATTTTTTATGCCAGGTCTTGTTTTGGGAGTGTTGTACCTGGGGGGTAATCTGATGAGCAGAGGCGACTTGGATGCCGGTGATCTAATGGCTTTCCTTGTGGCAACTCAAACTCTCCATCGATCGTTTGTTCAAATTTCCCTTCTGTTTGGACATGTCATTCGTGGCGCTTCTGCCGCTGCTCATATCTCTGAGGTGGGTTCCGTAGAAGTCTCCTTTGTTTTACTATTTCCAAGCTCTATTATATCCCTCTAGTGGATCAATTAATCTAACCATTCATCTATATATTTCCAGCTACTCTCGTATCCCTTGTGCAGCGAGGCAACTCTCGATAACAAAACAGTCAAAATGCTCCCCGAAATGATTACTTTTAATACTCCAGTGATTCGCTTCGAGAATGTCACCTTCTGCTACCCTAATCGACCAGAAAAGGCAGTATTTAAGGATTTGAGTTTTGAAATTCCCGCTGGAAAGGTAGTGGCTCTTGTTGGAGAATCAGGAGCGGGAAAATCGACAGTACTGGCTCTTCTAGAGCGTTTTTATGAGCCAAATGCTGGAAAAATCACTCTGGATGGAGTCGATATTAAGAATATTAGCTTGCCTCAACTACGAGGCCGTCTGCTTGGCTATATTAGTCAAGAACCGGAAATCTTTCATAATACGGTGTCAGAGAATATTCGTTGTGGGCGTCCAATGGCTTCTCAAAGCGATATAGAATTAGTGGCGAAAGCTGCTCAAGCTGATGACTTTATTCGAGATCGTTTGAGTGGAGGCTATGATACAATGATTGGGGGTGGTTCGAGCACGGCGTCAGCAGGTCTTAGTGGGGGACAACGCCAACGCATTGTTATTGCTAGAGCTCTTCTCAAAAATGCTCCAATTCTACTTCTTGATGAAGCAACTTCTGCTCTAGATGCTGAGTCTGAATTTCTAGTTCAGTCAGCGCTTCAAAAGGCCATGCAAGGTGAGTAATTTTGTTATATGAAGGTCTATTAGATGGGCCTAGCCACTTGGTTCTACTCTCCATCACTTGCGCGCACACACACACACACAC